GGCGGGTGTGCTTTGCAAACATAGCAGTTGGGTTTTGCTAGCCCAAATGCAGGGTTGAGGTGCCAGGGGGAACTAGCCCCTGAGACCTTTGGCCAGTCCAGCCCATAGTGGTTCCTCTGGACTGCTCCATCATACAGATGCATTGTTCCTTGCCCGGCTGGCCTTTAATGAGCCAAACTCAATGTTATTTTCTTTGCTGGAGCTTTTTGGAAATCTTCATATGGGGTAACGAGGAGAGAGATTTTCTTAAGAAAAAATAACCATGGGAAGGGAAAGGTGGAACCAGGACTGGGCTTGGTGTGACATCAGAAACTTTCGGGGATGCTTTAGGGATCATCTGAAAGTTTTTGCCCAGTTGTCACCTGCGATGGCACAACCACAGCTACAACAACAAAGATGAAAAAGTGGCAGATGGCAGCGCCTGGCCAACTGTGTGTGGCATTGGAAGCAAGGCCTGGCCAGCTCTGATTAGTACTTGGATGGGAGACCACCAGGAGATTCTGGGACTGTGGGTTAGGCTGGAAAGTTGAAAAATATCCTAGAAGAAGGCAGACCAGTTCCATATTGTTCATGGAAATATACCCACAGATATTCGTGGGAGGATATGTGTCAAAATCTCCAAGGTGTTGGGACCCACCCACCCCCCTTTTGTACATGGAGGCACAGTGCGCTGCCAGCTGTCAAGCAGATTTAGAACACCCCCCCCCCCTTGAATGCCCCTGTAAATCAGGGTTTCTGAACCTTGGGAACTTTAAGTATTATGTCAGGGCTGCCAGTTCCTGAACGTATTATGTCAGGGCTGCCAGTTCCTGAACCTACAGCAGGGTTTCTGAACCTTGGGAACTTTAAGATGTGTGGACTTCAACTCCCCGAATTCCCCCGCCAGCATCGGGAGTTGAAGTCCACACATCTTAAAGTTCCCAAGGTTCAGAAACCCTGCTGTAGATACTTCTCATACTGTTTGCTTTTGGGTTGAGCAATACTATGCAGACCACAGGAAGGGAATAAAAAGCAGTCACCTCCCCCCAAGGTATAAAGTAGTAAAAACAAAAGAAAACCTGGTTAAATGTAGTTTACCCCAGCATCATTCACCATAGCTCTTCCTGTCTTTCTGTTCTTGCAGACCATCCTGGCTATCATCACATCCATTTAACTAGTTATAAATTGTATTATGTCAGGGCTGCCAGTTCCTGAACGCATCTCTAAAACGGGCCTTTGCTTTTCATCCCCAGCCATTTCAGCACTTTTATTTACCTTTTCATCTCTTTTTTAAAAAGTCCTTTCACTCTGGCGGGGACTCCCTTAGCCCTCTTTACCCCCTTCCGAAACATTTTTTTTTTAATTTGCACATTAAAACAAGACAGAGCATCGATCGCAGCATCGTGGTCACCATCTTGACTTTTTGACCACGCCCTGTGGAGCCTCCTGCTTGCATCTTTCACTGTTTCAGTCTTTCAACATAAACAACCCAGCTGATCATGCTTTTAGATGGATATTCATTCCTTGCCAGGTGAATAGACTTCAGCCACATATTCAAAGCAAACAGAACTTCTTCTGAGCAGATGTTCACCAAAAACTCACCATCCTTATTCTCTCCTGGGTTGCTAAATGGCCCAAATTGTTTTTCTTCCTGCCATTTTCCCAACCATCTGCTCATGTCACTGATGAGAGTAATATTTTCCTCTGGACTACATTTATTCAGAATTTTGCCCATTTTTTCCCCAAATTCTGCTCTGGTTCTCCTGTCATCACCATATGTACACTAGATTTAACATGCAGCTATCATAAGCCTGTGGATTCTGACTTTCTTACCCATCCACAATGACCTAGATGACAGCAGTTCGTACTTCCTGCCATACAGTTTAGCCTGGAATCGTGATTAATCCTACCCCTTCCTTTCACTGCATGCATTCATCAAAGCCACTCCACAAAACCACATCATCTTCTTTTAGGCCTATTCCATCTTTAGCCTTTCTCTCAGATTTGCTGATATACAACATACCTATTTTTCTTTCCACTGTTTCATTCACTCAGCAAAACAGGGTTAAAATGTACCCTGCTTCAGTGTGATCTGTGCAGCCAGCCCCATCTCATGCCCAGAGATCCTCTGTGGCAAGATGGTCACTGCTTAGATGGCTTTCAGGAAGAGAAAATTTATTAGCAGTTTGATATGAAACCACCATATTCCAGAGTAGTATATCTGAGCACATGAAAATGCACATGGCTGTCTCAGATCAAGTCAGACCTCTGACCCATTTTGTCTGTCCAGCAGACAGCATTTCTTTTCCTCCCCGAGCCTCTTTGGAGAAGTATCTGGGGCGTCCCACGTGCAAAGCAGGAACCTTGCCCCATGCCACAGAACGACGCCACTTGCAGAGGAGCGCCCAAGGGAAGAGACAGCAGATTTCAAGGCACCTCCTAGCAAAACCTTTGGCCCAGTGGAGGGGGAGTCTTGTGGGCAGGGGCAAGCAAATACTTTGGCTCACTTTTCCCCCAACAGAGAACAACTGGGTGCCCCCAACCTCCGGGCACAGTTAAACTTCACTTGGGTTAGGTTTTTTGGTGGCTTAATGTTGGGCAAACTCAATGGTGGTTGGTTTACAAGTCCATATATTGTGCAAACCTAGAAAAAGAATTAATTTATTAACCAGGTATTGTAATGGGCAGTGAGAATAACCCTGGGAGACAGGAGGAAGAGCCGCAGCCAAGGCAACAATTAGATAAGAGATATCTCAGCCCACAGAAGGAGTGGAGGTAGACAAAGCATCTCAGAAGGGACTCTCCCTAGTCCTCTGGAAAGTAAAGGCAAGGGAGGGGAGAAATGTTTTCAGACTTGCAAGATTCTGTTACTGTAACCTTACAATAAAGGCAGTGTTAGTACTTATGGTTTTGGTCTCTTGTCTGGACTACCTCAAAGGGCTGACAGGTATAGTATGTTGGATGAATGCATCTCCTGAATCATAAACTGTCAAATAGGTTGGGTTCATACAAAGGGCAGAACCAGCACCCAGAGAGCCAGTTCAGCATCCTTGGTGAATGTATCTCCTTGATATTTAGTGGATGTGGTTAAGGGTGCCATGGGAAACCAGTACATAAACTGGCTAAAAGTTTTAAAATTCTTAAAGCAACTCATGGATCTGGATTGGAGGAGAACTGAGCTTCAGTGAGCTACCCAATCCACAGGGCTTTATTTGCAAAGAAAGTCGAGATCAAAGGTCTTGATCTGTTGATGATATTTCTAATGACATCTGGGATGTTGTAGTACAGTGTTTCTCAACCTCGGCAACTTGAAGATCTGTGGACTTCAACTCCCAGAATTCCCCA